TATCCCTTATGGGATACTCCAAAATAGATGTAACAATTGAATCCCGACTGGCGCAAGTATTCAGTTGATAACCCTTACGGGGAATAATAAATAGTCCAGTCTTTGAGCATATAAAATAGACCCATGATCATGAATTCATGTTGCATGTATCCGGAGCAAGTCCAAATTGAAGATATAATACTTGTATTTGAGCTAGTAAGCCCCTGAGCACGTAGTCACAATTGTTCATCGATGGTAGCTGACGCAGTTGGCATAGAGACAAGACGACCAATATAGAGATAATATTGCCCAACAGAGGTGGCAAAAATATTGGTGGTAGTGAAGATAGTGATACCAATCAAAAGTGATGAAGTTGCACAGCCGTGGAGGCGAAGAAACCAGTCGGCGGCAGACAGATCAACTAACAATGAAGATGAAGAAAATAGTTGACGACGACAAACGCAACCGACATGATGAAGATGATGATGTCGGCGATCCAGTCAATAGCAGTGTCGCAACCAATGATAATGACAAAGACGCTCATCAGCATTTGCATAGTAGGTCAACCGTGAAGGTGAAATAATAAGTCGGCGAAAACATAATCATCCATTAGCAACAGCGGAGATGTCAGGGCCGATGAAGCAGAGGTGCTGGTGATGATGTCAGTGACAATAATCCATCAAATTAATGTTATGGCTGTTGTAGATGCTTCACTTGGAGGAGAGTTGATGTTGTTGTCTAACTCGTCCAAACCGAAATATTTGAAGTTGTTGAAGTAGAATGTCTGCTCCGAATCAAAGATGAAGATAATGACTCCTGGAGTTGACTCGTTGGTTGATGAATTGATTTCTTCAGCTTGACATAAAATTTGGCAAATTTTGAGCCTTATATTTGTGTAGCCCCCGACTCTTTGGTTAGTTGGGAAACAACTGAACATAGAGTCGAGAATTATAGCTTCTTGTCGTCGAGTAGTCATTGCTTGATTGAAGATATGTGTTGAAGATGTCCAAGTAGAAATCCTGAATATTGGAGAGCCTCTTGTTGTAGTAAAACAACATGGCATCGCATGCCGAGATGTCGAGGCATGATGACAAAGTTGCATTGCCGTGATGAAGTGAATACGAGTCGGCGGCAACAGAAGCAAACTGGTAGTGAAGATGCGCAGTTGTGAAGATAAAAGCACCAGTCGGCGGCGGCATAATCAGTCGGCGACAGAAGATGATGATGTCCATCAGTAGTGGTAGCTGTATAAACCAAATGTAGAGGCGAGGGCACTAGTCAGCAGCAGACGAGACGACCGGCGATGAAGATGGTAAGGCCAATCAACACTGGCAGAATCATGCAGCCATGGAAGTGAAGAAACCAGTCGGCAGCCATGGCAAACGTAGGCAGCTTGTGTTGAAGATACTGATGCCTATTAGTAGTGACAGCGATGTAGCCAGCCGTGAAGAAGATAGCATCAGTTGGCGTTATAACAGGCCAGCCGTGCAGGCGGTGACACCAGTCAGCGGCGGATGCGGCGGCCGGTCGGTGAAGACGTAGACGCCAAACAACGGCAGCATAAAGGCCAGCCGTGCAGGCGGAAACACCAGTCGGCGGCGGCGAAGGCAAGCCGGTCGGTGAAGACGTAGACGCCCAACAACGGCAGCATAATAGGCCAGCCGTGCAGGCGGAAGCACCAGTCGGCGGCGGACGAGGCGGCCGGTCGGTGAAGACGTAGACGCCCAACAACGGCGGCATAAAGGCCAGCCGTGCAGACGGAAACACCAGTCGGCAGCGGCGGAGGCAAGCCGGTCGGTAAAGACGTAGACGCCCAACAACGGCGGCATAAAGGCCAGCCGTGCAGGCGGAAACACCAGTCGGGCGGCGGCGAAGGCAAGCCGGTCGGTGAAGACGTAGACGCCCAACAACGGCAGCATAATAGGCCAGCCGTGCAGGCGGAAGCACCAGTCGGCGGCGGACGAGGCGGCCGGTCGGTGAAGACGTAGACGCCCGACAACGGCGGCATAAAGGCCAGCCGTGCAGGCGGAAACACCAGTCGGCAGCGGCGAAGGCAAGCCGGTCGGTAAAGACGTAGACGCCCAACAACGGCGGCATAAAGGCCAGCCGTGCAGGCGGAAACACCAGTCGGCGGCGGCGAAGGCAAGCCGGTCGGTGAAGACGTAGACGCCCAACAACGGCGGCATAATAAGTCAGCCGTGCAGGCGGAAGCACCAGTCGGCAGCGGCGAAGGCAAGCCGGTCGGTAAAGACGTAGACGCCCAACAACGGCGGCATAAAGGCCAGCCGTGCAGGCGGAAACACCAGTCGGCGGCGGCGAAGGCAAGCCGGTCGGTGAAGACGTAGACGCCCAACAACGGCGGCATAATAAGTCAGCCGTGCAGGCGGAAGCACCAGTCGGCGGCGGCGAAGGCAAGCCGGTCGGTGAAGACGTAGACGCCCAACAACGGCGGCATAATAAGTCAGCCGTGCAGGCGGAAGCACCAGTCGGCGGCAGACGAGGCGGCCGGTTGGTGATGTTCTGACTGATCCATTCCTGGAGTGTAAGAGATAAGCTTAAAGCCATGAATCCCTTTTATGCATGTCTGGATCTGGATCCTGCAGAACAAACATATAGGATGAGTAGTATCTGATATAAATATAATACTCGAGAAAAAATCAAGTATTTTAAAATATTGATAAATATGTATTTCTCCTCTTGTCAATTTTGATTTCCCCGAGCAGATGACTCTGTACGTTTAAACACTCTGTCCGACTAGTCATAGCCCCCAAGCATCGGGAGTCGGCCTAGGCATTTCCCAAACATGCATATGAGTGACATGAGTTCGTCATTAATGGAACAAAGTTTCACGGATCAGAATTTACTACTTAGGTACTTTTGCAATTATTAAGAGCAGAAAATAAATTTATCTCATCTCTATGCTTTTGATTTATTCCGAATAATACTTAGCACCTTGCGTTACTCGGTCCATCCAACGAGCCCCCGGGTGCTAGGAATCGGCCCAAAGGCAACCATCCATTGGCAAACCAAACGGAAAGCATAGGAAGATAGAACTCCATAACTCGATAGGTACTTTTGTACTCAGATAATGTCTCAAGCAATCAAGATAAATATTATAAAAAATATGATATAACATCTGTAGCCCCCGACTCACTACTCAATGGAAGACCAATTGGTGTAGTGAGGCAGAGGAAAAGGAAAAATATCATATAAAGAATAAAATAAATGATGACTTAGCTTTGTCGTATTCCCTCGGTGGCAGCAGAAGTAGCCGATGTGGGAACGAAACAGTCCATCAATAACAATGAGGACACCAGTCGGCGGCGACGAAGGCGGTCGACGGTGAAAGCGAAGATGCCCACCAACGACGACATAATAGGCTAGCCGTGTCGGCAGAGACACCAGTCGGCGGCGGCAAAGGCAAGCCGGTTGGTGAAGACGTGGACGCCCATGAACGGTGGTGTGACCAACCAACCGTATAGGCGAGGACACCAGTCGGCGGCGACGGAGGCAGGCCGGTCGGTGAAGACGTTGTTGCTATCAGCGGCGGTGGCAAAGGCAAGCCGGTTGGTGAAGACGTGGACGCCCATGAACGGTGGTGTGACCAACCAACCGTATAGGCGAGGACACCAGTCGGCGGCGACGGAGGCAGGCCGGTCGGTGAAGACGTTGTTGCTATCAGCGGCGGTGGCAAAGGCAAGCCGGCGGAGTGGACTCGCGGCCAATTGACCGAATAGCTGGGACGTCTCGAGTCCATGACCAGCATAGATCACCTAGCAAAGTCGAAGATTAAATCATTCAACTCGCCGAGATTGATTTCCTCGACCGGACTCACTCCGAGACGGAGAAAATTGGTCGTTGGTGTTGCACTGTGTCACTAGGACTAATCAAGCAATCGACACTGAGATGGTGAGGCCTCCCTGCAGCAGTAGAAGCAGCCAGAAGAATCGGCCAGCCAGCCAAAAAAACCCAGATTGATCAAATTAGTAGCAACTACAGAAACAACTCAATAAGTATATATGTTGATCGATGCATGCATGCAAATATGCAACATGGGTTTATCCATCCTCTTGCAGGTGCTGAACGTGCATGCAAGTCAACCCTGTAAAGAACCAATAGTCTTTGACCAGGGCCAGGGCGAGCACACAGCGGCCGGCTGGACTCCTGACGTGATGCAGTGCACCCGGCGGCAACTCTCGCGGCGCCATGTAGATGGAACAGTTCGCCATGCACAAAATCGATGCGATAGCGATGGTGTGCCCACGTGCGCTGTTGAGCATGTCATCTCGCAAAACAAATCATCGATCAATCTGTTGTTAGAAATTAATCTAATAATAAAATAAATTGGAGCGGCAAACCCGGATGAAGATCAAAGATTTGACGAGCCATTGAACACGTTGAAATTGATCTCAACGTTTCTTTTGAAGTTAATTCCATCGCACTTCTCGACGGGTAATACGACGCAACCCCTACCTGGCGCGCCAACTGTCGAAACATGAATTCGGCAATAATAAAAGGGGGTTGCGTACGAGACCTAAAGTGGATGGATGCAGACACAAAGGATTTAGACAGGTTCAGGCCCTCTCGATGAGAGGTAATACCCTACTCCTGTTTGGGGATTTGAATCCGCCGAGTGTGTATTGATCTGACGATCAGGTTGTCTCATGCCCCTAGAGGGGGCTCCCTGCCCTCCTTATATAGGTTGGGGGGCAGGGTTACAAGATAGAAACCTTAACCAATACGGTATCGGTTTCCTAAATCTACTTTACAATCTTATCAAACCAGGACTTTAGGCCGTTCCATAATATACAGGGAAACGTAATACCCAAGTCATGATCTGTTACATATTTCATATATATAAGTTATCCCCTATAACTAGTCGGATAATCATGCCGTGTGGGTATGGGGTACCCATAATCTCCACACAAAGCAAAGCAAAGAAAAGACGGCATCAACACTGTGATTGCAATTTAGCAATTATGTAGTACTGTTAATTAATCTGTTTTTTCTCCATAATTTACCTCTACAGAAAAAAAAAAGGATGGTGAGGGAGGGGTGGTTGGTGAAACACTGAAACCCCAAAACGGATATTAACTGAAAGAAAAAAACATGGAATTGAACAATTTTGCAGGAAGCGTCACATCAGCTGCCGCTCCCCTCCGCCGGGTCGTCGTCGCGGCGGCCGAGGAGGAGGGCCGCGAAGCTGGCGGCGGCGCAGAGCGCAGCGACTGCGTTGCCCTCGCGCAGCAAGACGCGGAGCGCGAGCCGCGCGATATCGGCCGTGGCGCGCCGCCCCTCTGCGACCAGCGACCTCCGCGGCTTTCCGGCGAACGCGAGTAGCACCAACACGGTGATCCATGTGATGAGCATGGCCGGCGCCGCCACGGCTAACGCGGCTCCCATCGACAGGAGCCCGAAGACGGCACCGTACATCACGGACGCGTAGAAAGCCGCCGGCCACGCCGCGACGGCGCCAGCCCCGCCGGCCGCGGAGTAGTACCAGGCGCGCACGGACTCCACCAGGCGCCACGACGAGCAGAGCAGAGAGGCGTACACGGCGAGGAAGAGGGCCGCCCAGGTGCGCCGCTTCCTCATGGCTCGGAGGAGGAGGGAGGTCAAGGGGGGCCATGCCGACAAGCCCCATGGCTCGGCCACATCCTGATCTGCCATGGATTGACCACGGATTGTTGATTCCTTGCTAGGCGATGGTAATTCCTGAGGTTTTGTGGGTTCGATTTTGCTGGGCATGCTTCCCTTGCTTTTCCTGGGGGTGGGTCAAGGCCTCAAGGGAGAGTAGGAGCAATGGGGAGGCATGGAAGGGAGCCTGTCTGTCTGAATCGTCGTTTGCTTTTACTTTTCCTTTCCTTTCTTTTCTGTCCTTCGTTTTTTTCTAAATTAGTACTCCTTTTACTCCATATTATAATTGCTTTGAATATATTTTAACAACATATTCGTTTTTTTAAAATACTACTATATTTATTAAAAACTTAATTAAACATAAAACAATTTAACTGGAAAAATAATTAAATCGAATTATAATATGAACCAAAGAGAGTAATACCAGTCGTTAGTCTGTGGCATACATGGAATAATCTCATTAACCATAACATTAAAATTTCAATCGTATGCTAGTCCTGGCCGCTACCGCCGCTCCAATCGCTGCCGCTTTGCACCACCGCCACCACTAGCTCCGCCACCCCTCGCCGCACACCGGCCTTTACTCCATTTCCCTGTATCCTCGCCGGAACCACCATTTCACTGTGAACCCGAGCTCTACCACCGCTTTGACGACTCCGGTAGCACACCACCGCCGCCATAGCCGTTGCCACGTAGCGCCTCCACCACCATCATCTCCACCGCGCCCCACTGCCCCTCGGCCGTCCCTCCGCCGTCGCAGTTAGTCACTGAAGCGCCGCCGCCTCCCTCTGCCCTGAGCTCCGCTGGCCGACTCCCTCCGTCGCCGCGCCTCTCGGTGAACCGCCCTCCCTCCTCCTCCTCTCCATTTATTCCCCTCCTTCCCCGTTTCCCGTGCCGCCGCTCGGTGCTAGTGTCGTCGCCGGCGGTCGCCATTTGGCCACGCGCCGCCGCCTCGAGTTGGTCGGCGAGCCAACCCGCACCCTTGCCATGCCGCTCGTGTTGGTAGCCTGTGGACCACCCCGTGGTCTTGGTCCATGGTGCGCCGCCCCTCCCCTTTTGGCTGACGTGTGGGGCCCACCTTTGGTGGACTCGGTCCACGCCCGCCCCACTGCTGAGCCAATAACTTTTGTTTTCCTTTAAGAAAAATATATAATAATTGCGCAATAAATCAATAATAATTCTAGAAATTCATTTAAATGGCTCGAAACTTCTAAAATCCATATCTAATTCATACAAACTCCAAATTAAACCATTCAACTTGCAAAATTCATCTAAAATTGAGCTCTACATGTTTGTTTACTTTTTATGTACTGTTTACTTGGTTTTTATTAGAGTTTTTTCCTCGTTTTGCGTGCCAGCGAGTAGTTTCCGTCGTTTTGAAAGATCGCGGTTGTGAGGAAAATAGTTCAGAAGATCAAAGTGAAGAAGCAAGGCAAGTCACACATTCTCCTTGAGCATTTTCATCCTAATTTATAAATGTTTTATCGTTTGCAAATAAAAATTGCATGTCTTACTAATTGCATGTGATCAGGGTTTACCTATCTGCTCGCTTTTGCCATGTTTACTTGATATCTATCCTTTGTCAACCTTGGGTAATAAATCGACTAGCTCATGTTACTTATGTGACCTAGCTAGAACTATATGCTTAGCCATGCTTAATTACCACTAGCTCATTTGATGGGATAATTGCAGTATTAGACCTTTCAGTATCTTGACGAGCTGCGTGCTCGAGACATCTGGCCATATTTCATGGTCGTAATTATCCAACTAAAATGCGACTGAATGGTGGGTTGTGGGTGCATGGTTTTGCTAGTCGCACCCATGGCAATTAAGGACCGGTTCGCTTGAAACCCTTGAAGACACACAGTGCTTGCCACAAGCGGGAATAGGTAACTGCCTGACTTGAAGTATAGCTGTCACACCCCGAAGTTCTCCTCCCAAGCCTAAATTTAATTTATAAACAACCCCAAGAAAATGCAGGTGCAATCAAGAGAAAACCCTAAGAAAGTAATGCAAATAATAATCGGATTTGGCATGTGGAATTTTTCTTGAGTTCTACATGTCGAAATTCACTAACAGGATTTTTAGTGGAATTTTCAGAGCCCTAGAAATAATTTTAACCAATTAAAATTGAGCAAGCAATATTTTAATTCCAGGGAAAATCCTTTTTCCTTTTTCTTTTTCTTTTTCCTCTCTTTTTCCTCCTTTTTTCGAATGGGCTGCCGGCCCATTCTCTCCTTTCCTCCCCCCTCCCTCCCCCCTCCCTGCTGGGCCGGCCGCAGGCCGAGGCCCAGCCAAGCCGCGCCGCCCTCCTCTCCCGGGGTCGCCGACAGGTGGGGCCCACCTGTCGGGTCCTTCCCCCACCTCCCGCCGCTCCCGCCGCGCCGCCGCGCCCGCAACCGCCGCCGCGCCCACGCCTCCGCCTTCTCCGGGCCACGTCAGCCACGTCCGCGCGTGCGCCGCATCTCCCGCGCCCACTCCCCTCTCTCTCCCGCTCGCGCCCGCGCCCGAGATGGCCGGAATTCGATTTTCGAATCCCGCCTCTCTCTCCTCCCCCACTCCCCCACATTGACCGGCGAAATCCCGCCTCTCCTGGCCACATCCGGCCCTCCCCTCCCCTATTTAAGCTTCCCCGTTGCTCCCTCTCGTTTTTTCCCTTTCTCGCCGAACTCCCTCGTGCTCCCATCGCTCCCGCGCCGTGCAACCACCCGCCGCCGCCGTTTCCGCTACTCCGGCCGCCGCTAGCCGCCGCTAGGCTTGCCGCCGCACCGCGCCGTCGCCGCCGTCGGGTTCGCGTGGCCGAGATCCACCCCGTCCACCCCTCCTTCGTCGAGGTCCGTCGCCGGAGAGCCGTTCCCGTCGTGCAACGGTGAGGGTTGCCATGTCCGCCGCCTTCGGCCGGCATTCCCGCCTCCTATGGCCCCTCTCTTCCTCTCTAATCTCTTTCTTTTCGTTCTTTAGGTCGTCCCGGTCGCCGTCCGCCGCGTGTCGACTTCCCTCCGTCGCTCCTCGTCGCCGGTCGCCGCCGTCCCCTTCGGTGAGGACTCCCTCCCCTTTTCTTTACTTCCCCGATTCCCCGTGCGTCGCCGCCGCCCGCGCTCGCCGTCGCCTTTGGTCGTTGCCGCCGTCCGCTGCCGCCGCTTTCGCGTCGCTTTTGCGCCGTCGCCTCTGCCGCCGGTTGTCGTCGCCGGCAACGCGTTCGCGCGTGCGCCGTCGCCGCTAGCCATAGCCGGCCGGTCGGCTTTGATGCCGAGCCGAGCCCCGCGGCCACCTCCACCGCCGCCCGTCCGATTGGCCCGAGGGCGATCTGGGCCGTCGGTCCCGTGGACCGGCGGTGGACCACCCGCGTGGTCCCGGTCCACGGTGAACCGCTCCCCCTGAGCCGCTGACCGGTGGGGCCCGCTTGCCGGCGCCGCGCCCCCTCCGTGCTGGCGTCAGCCCTGGGATTTATTGCGCAATAAATGATTTAAGGTTTTTCTTGTATAGTAATAAACACAGTGAATCTTCTAAAATTCATAACTAATTCATCCGAGCTCCGTTTAAGCCCACTCAAGTCTCAGTAAATCAAGAAAAATGTGTAGAATCCATTAAAAATGGTTTTGTTCTCTGTTTCAGTAGTCTTATAGCCTGTTTGCAATGTTTGCTTTGTTTGTCGCTAGATTCCGGTTCCTCCGACGCTCCGGTGTACTTCGAAATAGTCGCCGAGGTTTCTCCAGCAGCAGAGCAAGGCAAGTCATGCTTGTCATTTGAACATGTTGATCCTATATTGCAAATGCTCTATTGTTTTCTTTCAAATATTGCATTGTTTTATAATGTTACTATGGGATGTTTACCTATTGTTACAGCCATGCTATTTTGATACCATGCTCCTTTGTTAGCTTGGGTTATAACATGAATAGACTTTGGACTAGGAATTGCTTAGCCATGCTTAGTTCAACTAGTTCACAATGGGGAAAATCACATTAATGTTTAGACTGTTGGTTCTAATGGCTTTGTTGGATTAGTGACACCGCTTTGGTGTTGGTTAATTAAAATAAACCACATGGTGGGCTGTGGGTGCATGGTTTAGCAGGTCGCACCCATGGCAGTTAAGGACCGGTTCGCGGGATGCCCTGGAAGAACTTATCGTACTTACCACAAGCCAGCGTGGGCAACGGCTAGGCTTGTAGTGTAGCTCTCCTCTAGTCGACGCATCCAGGCAAGGGTGGGCGTGATGGAGCGGGGCGGGCCCTGCGACGGCCTCTGTCGCTTCCGGATTCACCTAGGCACGAGAGGGGACTGCCCGTTGCCCGCTGGGGACGGGGGTGAAACCTGAGGTGGGGTGTGCTTGGTTAGAGGGGGTTATGCGAAGGGTCCTGTCACGGCCTCTTTCCGGTGTGTCGTGGTGGCATGTCGGCGCACGGAAACGTGTCGTGGGGCTGTGTCTTGTGGGTACAGTTGTACACCTCTGATCAGAGTAAAACTATTCGAATAGCCGTGCCCGCGGTTATGGGCGGTCAACCAGATTCACCGTGATTAGTCTCACCCTAGTGTACTCTTATGAAATTGGATAGTTTAGGTGGATGGTTGGGCCTGTCGCAACGTGGGTTAGCGTTGGACAGTGGATAGTTGATACTAATTAATTATTACAACTATTTAAATCTTTCAACTTCTGTTTATAAATGCTCGCTTTATGCAAATGAACCACTTCAGCTCTTCTTTGATGATTCCCTGCATCATACCCCTATTCCGGTATGACTTGCTGAGTACAGTGGGTAGTACTCAGTCTTGCTCTACTTTTCCCAACCCCAGAGTTCGAGTTCGGGTCAGATGAAGGTTTCTCCGAGGAGTAGGCTTCGTCCGTGCCGTCGAGGATGCCTGTGGAGTGGTGTTCCCGCTGCAGTTTTAGTCATGGCTTAGCTCCTGTTGTCTTTCTTTTCTTCCGCTGCATTTTTGTAAGACTTTTATGATGTTTGTAAGACGTGGATCTGAATGTCAACATTGTCGTTTGTGTACCCCGGCTGGTCCTGGACGGGGAATTTAATGCACATTCTGCTTGAAATTCTATTCGGGAATTTCTGGGCGTGACAATAGCTTTCCTCTGGCTAACGTTCCTAGGCTAGGGTGGGCGTGATGGAGTTGGGTCGGCTGGGGTGTTCGGTTGATCGGCTTCCGGATTCACTGTGGCACGAGGGGGGGCTGCCCGTTGCCTGCTGGGGGCGGGGGCGAAACCTGAGGTGTGGTGCGATTGGTTAGAGGGGGTTATATGAAGGGTCTTCTCACAATCACTCGACGTGGTGACCTGTTCATCATGGGCACATGATGACACTGTGACATGCCGGTGGATTGTGTCTTGTGGGTACAGTT